GTCACTGCCGGGTCTCTGTCAAGCTGCAGCGGTTTTCTGAAGCCATCAGCTTGTAGTTGCTGCTGCTTGAGCCACGTCTCCGTCAGGGCGATGTGGCAGCATTCTTGTACTCCGATAAAAATTTGACGTTCACCTGTAAGTTGTCCACCTTGTTATCGAGAGACTAGACATTGGATGATTGAGGGAAGGGGGATCCTCCAGTGGCCTCGTCTCTTCAATCTCTGGCGCATACCAACTCGTCTGCCCCTTTTCCTGGCCTTCATTGGCCTAGAAGTCCCGCTCTTATTTTCTCCATAGAGGCCAAATCCAAATAATCTCAGCAGGAAAAGCTGACATGGAGTCCACGACCCCCACGCTGGTGTCGTGAAGTAGCAGTAGGAACTCCTGGCTACACTGGAGCGCCATGTGATTATCACAAAGTCCTCTCAACAGGTTACAACAAAGTGTCAGAATAAATAAGAGAATCATCAGCCTGGTGTGAGTCATTTTTACCCCAAACAGTCACACACAACCTTAAACACAACCAACTAGCACATGTACGTCCAACTTCTGCTGCTTGTTGCCATTAGTCCACCGCCATGGTGTTACTCAGCAAAATAGTCAATCAGTGAACAGCGAATAAGTGTACTAACCATTTCTTTACTACACAACATAGGCCAGGTACAAATGTGTTATTAGTTCCAGTGTCTTAGGAGACACTGTTAGTGTGGCATGTTTAACACTCAAATTCCAAGATTTTTTATCACATGCTCATAGAGTATGTGCAGTGAAATGCAGTATCAAACTGCAAATGTCAGGCACCAGACTTTCCTTATAGCAAAGTCATTAACAATGCCTTTAAAGTCCACTCTGTGTTTTTTTTGTTTTTTTTTCAAGTCTGGTGAAACTGGTCAATCTCTCTTACACAGTAAAGCACAAACAGTTTTCAGTGAGCTTCCTTTCACTGAGGGGGCCCCTTGTGTAACGTGCGCAAATCATGCCAGGGGATTATTTGGCAGTTAGAGGACACGTGGGCCCCCCCTGGACTCACCCATTTTGGCGGCCCTGTTGCAATTACCACAAAGCCGGAGTAAGGGTTGGTCGTTACTGAACTGCCATATTCAGAGACAGAGTGGAAACCCCCCCCCCCCACACAGGGAAGTACAGGGATACCCTTAGTCCTCACTTTGTTTCAACAACTCTATCTGCTATATTACCTTGCCTTTATGTTTGAGGTTAAAAAAGTTCCACTCAAATGGGACGGGTTGGTAACACTTGGATAAACTTTACAATCATTGCTGAGTGCATAATAACCAGCCAGCTCCAAGCTGATATCTTTATCACATCCTCACTCAGCAGCAGATGCAGAGGAGGAAAATACAAGATGCTTCCAGATTCTTAGCAAAAAGCCTGAATAATGTTCTGACCATCCAGGAGATAATAAAAACATGTGACATTTGATCAGAATTTCATGAAAGGAACGATTATATGACATAATATTGCTAAACATCTGCAGTCAATACATAACAAAATGACATCCCTGCTATACATCGTCCACTTAGATCACAGAGCAGCCTTAATTTATTTTTTTTAACCCTTGGCTCAGGTCCTGCAGAAGCACAAAGAAAGATGTAATAATTACCCAACACTTCCTCTGAGACACTGAGCTGTGGCTGCCTCAGTCCTCTCCTCTCTGCCAGTCCACGTATCAGGTTGCTAATGGCTTTTACGCACTGATGTATGAGACGGCAGGAACAACCATCGACAGGTCAAGACATTAATATTTACCAGTCTGGAGGGGGTCAAGGCAGAATGGATCAGGCCATCTTCAATAAAACATGTCACCATCAAAGCAACCACTCCTTCGTGCTCTCCCTTTAGCTCTGTCATCGCTACAACTGGATTTACAGCGTGAGTGCTTTTTGCTCATCTTTGTGCTGGTTTTGTGTGTGTTGTCTGTGTAAAATGAATCCAGTGGTCATGGCAGTTTAATGGGAATGGTGTAATCCATTTCATCCCAAGGTACATGGGATTAATCAATAGACTATAAAGTTTTGGTCTGGCTATATTGCCTAATAAAACCACAACAAAAAAAATTGTCAGTGTGACATTTGGGGATGTAGCAGCTTTTAAGTGGAATGTGTAAGAAATCATAGTTAAACAATAGCAGTAGACAGATGAAAGTGGTGCTTACTATTAATTAAATGTGCACTGGGACTACTGCTAAAACAGGCTATAGATGTACTGTCACTGGTTTTTGCTGGAGAAGGCAGGTAGACCATGTATAATGTAACAGTAGAATATTGGTGCTCGAAAAATGTTGACCCACACAGTAGATAAACATAGGTGTATTATCTGTCAGGTCATCTGTAGCTTTTCGAGAATTTATTTTAGTTTTTTTTAATGACAGTCAGAGTTCACCATCCTTCTCTTTAATAGAAGCCATAAATCCTGAATAGACAATAAACGACTAAGTCTGCTTGAAACTAAGGTGTGCGATAACATCTGAATAGTAAAGGTGATCCAGTCTGGACAAGAAAAGAAAATGCTGCATGTACAACAACACAGGAAAACAGAGAAACTGGTTAAAAAAAAAAACAAAAAAAAACAATGGATCACTCAACTGAATCTAGATGAAATGTGATCATGACACCTGCATGCTGTCTGAAGATGGAGCTAAAGTAACTGCTGGTTGCATATGAGGTAGGCCGATTCATGTGGTGAATCAGGTGTACAGTGAGAGAAATAAGTATTTGATCCCACATCTATTTCATGATTTTGGCCACATACAAAAAAATAAAATAAAATAAGCGAGCGCTCTATAATTTTAATCGTAGGTTTATTTTAACTGTAAGAGACAGAATATCAACAAGCAAAGCTGAGACAAACACATTATCCAACAGTTCTAAATTAATTTCCAGTCGACCAAGGGAGATAAGTATTTGATTCCATTCCTTCCAGCAAGAATTCCTGCTCCCACTGATTGGTTATGTGGCCAAGAGGCACATATATGATTCAGCTTCACCACCTTGGGCAAGACCAAAGAGCTATCTAAGGACGTCAGAGACAAGACTGTAGAGCTTCACAAGGCTGGAGAGGGCTACAAGACCATCGGCGAGCAACTTGGTGAGAAGGTGACAACTGTCGGCGCAATCATATGCAAATGGAAAAAAGAAAAAACAACAATCAGTCGCCCTTGGTCTGGAGCTTCACGCGAGATCTTACCTTGTACAGCGTCTCTGATCATCAGAAAGATCAAGGATAATCCCAGACCTACATGGTAGGAACTTCATAATGATCTCAAGGCCGCTGGACTTCAGTCGTCAAGAAAACCATCAGTAACTCACTGCAAAGTAGTGGTTTGAAATCCTCCAGCACCTTCAAGGTCCCCCTGCTCAAAAAGGCACATGCACAGCCCCATCTGAAGTTTGCCAATGAGCATTTGAATGACACTCAGGAGACTTGGAGAGAGAAGAATGCTGACTATTACCACCAACAACACCATCCCTACAGTCAAGCACGGAGGTGGAAACATTATGCTTTGGGGCTGTTTCTCTGCCAAGGGTACAGGACGACTGCACCGCATCAAGGGAGCAAAGAATGGGGCCATGGACCAAGAAATCTTGAGCAAGAACCTCCTTCTCTCAGTCAGGACACTTGAAATGGGTCATTGATGGCTGGGAGAGCAAATACTTATTTCTCAACTGGAAATTAACTGTTCGATACTGTGTTTTTCTGGGTTTTTTGTTGTTATTCTGTCTCTTACAGTTAAGATAATTTTGTATGTGGCCAAAATCATGAAATATGCAGGGGATCAAATACTTATGTCCGTCACTGTAAGAGAGTCATTGTATCAGAAGGCTGTTACTGACTGTTCCAAAGAGCTTAATTCAGCTGGAGTTACTTTTGAAGCAGTAAGGCAAAAGCCATCAAATTGAGAGCAACATCCACATTATACCTTATAATGTTATGTTCGCTTATATTTTCACAAATGTTGGCTGCCTCCTGCAATTTAAAGTTTGCCTCAGCTGCTTTGTCGCTGCTTCTTGTCATCAACCTGTTTCTTCCAACCAGGAACTTCACATAACATTACTGACAAACACATAATGTTACTGAGTAGAAGAGGATCCTTGTTAGTGGTACAGCAAGATGGAATGAAGCTCAGTCAGATTCTATAATCTTCATATTATTATTAGCAGTTACAGTGTGCAATTCTACAGATGTGTGTACTGAATAAGACTTGACATGACGACAGCTCACTAGCTCCATTTAAATGAGTTAATTTGTTTATGCATCCATCTGTCATGTGACTGTTCAGTTACTATTCAGCGACGAGAAGTGCTTCATCATAGGCCGTCTTTTCAAGCGTTAGTTGGCTATTTAGTTTTAGTTGCACTTTTGTCATTTAAGAAGGTCTTCAATGAATCATGAATCTCCAGTGGCAAATCCCTTGAAGGTGTGTCAGATGAATGAGAGCTACTGAACTGGAAAGAGAGGCGTGCAGTGGAAAGATGGAGGTGACTGAAACTGTGAAAGGAACGACTATAGCAGATTGAAGTTGCACTTCATTTGGGGGGTACTAAGTGAAGTGTGATTGAGGTAATGGCAATTTAACCCATTACAAATAAAATCCACAACCCAGTAAAGCATGTGAAGCATGAAGGGGTCTTCTTCTGCTCCACCTTTGTTGGCGCATTGCTCCAGATGTTGGTATGTTATCACCACCTGTAGATCAGTGGATTGTGTGAACATGTGCAGGTGTGTACTCCCCAACTCCAGGTCAATACCTTGGCAGAAAACCTTCAACCTTAAGACAGTGACGGTTGGCTGATGTGTCTGTGGTGGAACTGTCAGTCCTCAACCAAAACAGCATGAACTACATATCGAATAAATCTTCTGAGATGGAATCATAGTCAGTTGTTCACAGATGTTGTTACAGATCTACACCCAGTTACTACCCACTGGGTCAGAAAAGACAAAATGAAGCTTAGAGATGAACTGAGAGACGAGCAGTCAGGAGGTAGAGAAAAGGAGATAGCTTTACTATAAAGAAGGCGTCACTAGCAGAAGTTGCAACATCTCATCATACACGCATACATGGTGAATATATTTATGCCATTTTCTGTTGAATAGATGTACCTTACAAAAGCTGTTATTTTGCGTGTTGAAGCAAGACTTTGACAAGCTGCTCTGATGCACACAGTAAAAACAAGATGATGCTAATATGACAGTTCACAAAAAAAACAAAAAACAAACGTGATCAGTCATTAAAAAAATGTAGTTGCAAATGTGCACCAGTAAAACTGTTGACTCTGCAGCATTTTGAAATGACGGAAAAATGCAAAACTGTCAAACTGCATGTTTATATTCACTTTTCTTCCCCATGACAGGTGAGCTGAGATGACGTGGACAGTAAAAAGAGACAATCAGCTCCGTGCGCACCCCAAATCAATGTGCACAAACAGAAGGGCAAAATACAAAAAGCATTGTGTACCAGCAAATATGCATATTTCTTTGTAATGTAGCTGGGGGCAAAGTGAAAGGCCATGTGAGTAGAGGGGGTGCACATTTTAAGATCAAATGTTGAAGAAAAAACTTCCAACAAGTCCTGTAAGAAATTTCAGACTTACATTCCAACCTAATGTTTGATCTCTCAGTGTTGTTCCTTATGGTTTTATTCTGTTTCAACACCAGTCTCCTGCTTGTCAACTTGTTTGTCTCCAACAACTTGCTGCGGTCACACCAAGGTTAGATTGAATGCACTGCACAACAATGGCATCAGAGAAATCACCCAGCTGAACAAAATTCAGAGGATATTGCTTTGAGGTTCTGCAGAAAGACAAGCAAAATAAGTTTTCAGGCAGATATAAGTTTCTGAGAGGTGTTTTTAGAGAATCAGACACCTGTTTGTGTTGGAAGGAGGGAAAAATACCAGGCTGCCAGTGGTGGCACCGCTGTGATATACACTGTGTTTCATTTTAGAGATCACCCCCTTTCAGGTCCACACAATGACATTTTCATACTAGATCCACAAGGTTTGTCCATATTCAAAGTCTCCTCAGGGTGAGCAAAGAAAGAGAAGCCTTTCTTTGCACATATTTCTGCAATTGATTGCGCACCAGATGTGCAATTGTGCGTGAAGGTGATCCTTGTCAACTTGTAATTGTATGAGATAGAGCAGACCAACGCAAAGCGGCTGACGTATGTAAATAATCATTTCTGAAAATGTCACAGGAGCATCACAGATAAGATATTGTCTGAATATATTTGTCTGTATAAGTCAACCTGATACACTGTCAGTTGTTGAGCAGGTATTAAAATAATCTAATCCAAGTTAGCCACTGATATTAACCACTTCTAACCTTCTGACATTGATGCGATGTGACATGTAGTCATTGCCAAGCATTAGGTTCTGCATTTGTTTACCTTGCTGTCTGACTGGTTTGGTACGAGCTTCTGGAAGTAAATATGGGTGCTGTTCAGGAGATGACACTGCAAGTTTCAGGTACAGTATGTATCCATGTAGCACAGTCTGAGATACACACAGTACAGAGAAAATGAATCATTAAAATCCCTCACAAGGTAGACACTGAGCAGACTTACTGTCATCAACTGGGATCAATCTGATTGGTCCCTTCAAATGACAATGACATTGTTGGTGTGTGAAGACACAGAGTAGAACCCTGTGCCAGGGCCCTAAAGCCCCAGGTCATCGACTACTCAGGTCTGCAGTGATATGGAACTACAATATTGCATCTAACAATAATGTTCCGGGAGTAATTTCTGAAATGTGCATTTTACAAGTTGCCAAAGAGCACTTGAAAGTAACATTAAGGGTCATAATAGCACAAAGAAAGGGCAGCAGGATGTGGAGGAGGAAGAGGAGGAGGAGGTTCAACTTTCACTAAGTGACCCCTGAAGTGGGACACAGCAGTGTAACGATAGCCATGTTAGGAACTGGCATGAAAGGCATTATGGGAGAGAATGTATGCAGTCTCAGAAAGAAGACAAATGTGTAACAGCGTAAAGGAGGGGACTTTGTTCCAATGCATGTTTCTAGGCCTATTAGCAGTTTGTGTGTGACAAATGCTACAGACAGTATACTGCAGGAGCACTTCTTATTTACATCATAGAGAATCTAACGTATTCCTCTTTCACAATATAGAATCCAAACCATCATCAAACGATTGACTGAGACTTGCCACAGCCAGTACCATATATTACAATGCAAAAGCAAAGGGTAACATAGAGAAGAATGATTCTTGTTATTATTTCAGAGTGCAAATGTTAGTCAAAGCTACATTACAAAGGTGCATGACAGAGTAAAGATGCACCGTCGCATTTGCTTGGTGGATACAGATTTGTGACTCTTTGTTTTGTCTTTTCAGATAAAGCATTTTTTTGGGGGGGGTGGGCGGGAACATGTTTTAAATATTTACAAAGATGAGAAATATTCTTTCAGGACCAACATATACAGAATATATGCCAAATAAGTAATAAGCAATAATATTAATTTTCTGTGCGGTGGAAAGATTATGTTACATAAATCTGAATAACAACACAGTAACAGTAATACCACATGAGTACGAGAAGAGCAGCACAATGGACAGAGAAACATGATCCTTTTCATGGACGATGACATGTATATGGTTTGTGTAGTTTTGTTCACAGCAGAAAAGCCAGCTGCTACAAAAATATCTTTAACATACTGTCGTGTTTGATGCCTCCAATGATGAGCAATAACAGATTCTGGAGATATCTTAAGTTTGGCTATTTCTGGTACATAACAACAAAATAAGGTGGTCAAAATGTTTATATAACAATTATCAAATTAAGCACTAATATATTAATACTATCCCACATCATGTAATAAATAGAAATATAAATTAAATATTTGAAATACAATGTGAACCTAACCGTAGTTAAGATCTATTTGATTTAGCATTGGAGGGTTAATAGTGCTGTTGAGCAGCAGGTACTTGAACTGACGAGTGCTAAAATGAAGTGATGAATCCAATAAGCACTCAGTGACATTTAGTGGAAAATAAAGAAACAAAAACAAATCACTGACTGTCAGTCTGCAACTAGAATGACAACATGATGAATCAGCTTGTAGGACAAGTGAAATACTGAGTGCACATCCTTCTTAAAGGTGTTCTTTTTTTCTCTCTTCCTCTGCAAAAAACTAAAAATGAAGCTGATACATTTCATTTCAAAGGTGGCTGTGAATTTAGTGTATATACTTTCATGCTGTAAATCTTGTCATTTAATGTAAGTAGTTCACCAACATCTTTTTTCATGTGTAATGATCAACAAATTGAGTTTATAAAAATTAGAAGGAAGGGAAGTGGTAGAGATCCCTCTGTGAAGGTGGGTTCAGACTAAACACAGAGACAGTTTTAGAGGCAGTGTGCTTGCCTGTAAAGTCGATGCAAAGAGATGAGATGACACAAAATAACTGACTTCATGTTTCCAAGGTGTGGAGGTAAATATCTGTAAGAACTGGAACTTGGGGAATATGATAGTAGTTAACATCCGTACATTGGCTGTTTAGGGACTGTAATAACAATTCAATGATCAAATCAATGTGAATTACTTGAGGCAAAGTTTAGTCCGAACACACCTGAAGGATCAGAACCTCTTCTGCTGCATTCATGTCCCACGGGAGTGAACATACGTATAAGCTTCCGACCTGACAACATTATACATCTCAGATAACAGGAGCTAAAAACTAAATGTGACCCCAAATTTACAGAATTGTGGTGTCGCCATCAAGAAAATACAGGTAGCTAAGTTGTACAAGAATATTTTCTTTCAGTCATAATAAGCCACGATGTGATCACGGTGTTAGATTGACGTTGCAACTTTGGGTTTGCCGTAAAACAGACTTTCAAAAGTAATAGTTTACGCATTCACATGTAACAAACGAGAAACCAAAGTCTAACAGAATCATGAAAGCCTCGCAGCTGCAAAGAAGCGCAGCTGTCAGAATTTTTAGTGTCAACCAACAGCTGTTCCCATTTGACATGAATGCAGCATTAGCCTGCATGCTAACTAGGGAATTCACTGGGTTGTGGTCTACTGGTGTTTCTCAAGCAAAACTAACTTTCCTTTCTGTTGCCTTCCTATTCATCTTGCACTAAGTTTACTACCATGCTCCAAAATAATGTTTTTGTTGAATCTTTTTTTAAAACAATGGGACTCATTAACAGTATAACGTAACAGAGCTCGCTGCTTGTGCAGGAAATTACTTTTTTCATGGAGCCCATTTTTAACATCTGCACAATGACGTTGGATTAGAGGTAAGAAATACATGTCTACCACATAGTTCAAGGCAAAGTGAATAAAAGCATGTGATTTAGGCGGCGAGTGCTAAAAAGAAACCCAAAATGTGTACTTTTACTAACCACATTAAACCCAAGATGGTATGGAGGAGGTGATAGTGCATAGTTTTGCAGGGCACTAAAATGTGTGCCAGGACTGTATACAGCATTCATTAAGATTAAATGACTAATCTACCAGCAGTGGAAAAACTAAAATCTTTCATTGTGTAAATATCAATATGATAAACATATCTGCCAGCATCCTGTTGACATTGATGGTAAGAAGCTGATATGTTACAGGATGGGGCCAGTGAGCGTGTGTGTGTGTCTGTGTGTGTGTAATAATTCTGCGTTTATTCTACTGGGATGCCACACAGAAGTATGAGGGACATGTCAAGAAGGACAACAGGGGCACAGAAAATGTTTGGGGCAGAAATTAACAAACAAACAAAAAAAAAAATCTCTAAACGCTTGTTGATGCCTCCAAATGCTGAAAGCTGCCCTGAAGGCACACTTCAAGTCTGTGTGGGTAAAGGGCAGGCAGAGCACAGAAGAAAATGAGCACTGTCCACTTTGTCCAAACATCACCTTCAATGGGCCATATTCTTAGAGCTGGAAACATAAATTAAAGGCTTGTGGTCTAATTCCACTCCTGTGTTCCTCCACTTCATCTGCAGAGGTGAGCCTATACAGTCCCCAGAGAGGCCCTGCCAGGTTTTTTCCGTTGTATATTGTGTTTCATATATTCATATAATCGTGTGTGTGTGTGTGTGTGTGTGTGTTTGTCTGGTGTATGGTGCTGTTGTTGGTTGTAACGCCCTTAAACCAGAGGGTACTGCTGAGTTCCTCTGTGCACTTCTGTGCCGCTATGCCAGTGAGTAGATGGCATTGACGGGCGAGGTGGCCTCGGAGCTCTCGTTGCCCTCTGTCTCATCCTTGTCCTTCTTCACTGTGTACTGGCCAATAAACGAGCCATCCTCGTTAAACTGGCCATCGCCGCCTTCGCCATAGTCTACCAAGCTGTCATCACTTTCCTTTACGTTGCCGTCCAGTGAAGTCTGGCTGCCCTGCAGAGGCTTGTTGTCCTCATCGCTGCTGCAAAGGTAGATAAAGACAAAGGTTAGAGGGTAAAATGGCAGCAGGGCCTTGTTACAGATCGGGACCCTGTCATCGGCACAGGTTAAAGGGGGGAAATTAAATCAAGCTGGTTCCCCTGTTGCCTTGAAAAGTGAACTTGGGTTCAAAAATTATTTCAGAGTCACTTTATGAGGTTTGAAAATTGAGTTAACTGAACTGGAGAAAATGAGTTGTGAAAACTTAAAACGTACAGTTTACTTAAGAACTCTTTACTCAAGCTTTGTTTTCCATTTGAATTTTCCCAATTTGCAGCTACTGGGGCCACTTTGTACCAGAGTAAGTACAGAGACCAAAATCTAAGACCAGTCCCAGGTAAACCTTTAAGTGTAAGGGGGTGTGATCTTAATTCAGTACTAACCTTCACTGTTAGCAGTGCCCATTATTAGGAAAAGAAACAACCATGACCTAATCTGTCTGAACTGAAGACAAAGAGCATGTTTCCATCATTAATCTGTTCATAGATAATCTATGTTATTCAGTCTGCCAATTTGATGAAAATGTATTTTTTGTTTGTTTTATTTTAGAAACATAATGTATTGATTTGAGTGGACTCTCAGCAGTACATTCATTCAACTTATCGCTTCAATTTAAAAGACCTGGCAGAAATTCTGAAGTAACCTGAAAATACTAATTGGATTTTTGAAGTTAGCATTAGCTTGACAGCCATAAAACCTACAAATTTACATCATGCTAATGACAAAGAATAGATTGATTGCAGTAGGTTTCTGCATGGTGTCTTACACCTTCTTCCAATGTAGTAAAGCTTTCATGTGACTGTATCACAAGAGGACAGAAACAAGTGCAATTGTACACATGGCACGTGAGTACTGATTTAAGGATACGGAAAGAGAAAATACAAACCTATCTTTTACAAACGCAGTTGCACCTGAATTTAATACCAAAGATGCTCATAGATCTACAATAAGAAGATTTGCAGACCACTACACGGTATTCACCTCTATGTTTTAAAAAGCAACCCTGTCTCCCAAAAATAACTTTCATGTAGAAGTAAGATTTTTTGTGAGAAATGCAATACTGCCTGGATTATGTTGTCTATCAACATGACATTGAATGTATCTGTAAGCTGTTCATGACAAGTACAAAAGACTTCTCCTGAACAAAAGCTGTCATATATTTACTTTCTCTTTGTCTCTTCAAAGCCTTCACTGGGCCCCAAACACTTGAGATGTAGAATATGAATTAAAGCATCCATGACAACTTTGTCCCTGTGACCTCTGGACATTATAATAATGTCACTTTCTGAGCTGGAAAATGTGATGCCAGCAAAAACAATCAATCAATCAGACTTTCTTTATATATCTCTTTTTATATACAAGAAATGTAAAACAATGTGCTTTACAAAAGATGAATCCAAGTAGTAATTGCATTTCCTCTAAAAACCTATTTGAAAAAACTAATTAGCAAACAGAGTATTTTATAGAAGACAGGGGTGATTAAAAGAGATAAATACTGTCCTCAAAAGTTCAAATATCTGCATACACATGCTAAATGGTGGCCATATTCTGACATGAGATCTAAACATGGAAATGCATTTGTGGAGTTGCTTGATCTCAGTTCAGAGAATGGCTAAAGCCTACTCACAGATTTTAGGGGGAAGAGAACTTCATGCACAGGGATAAAGAGCTCTATGCTAGCATTAGCTTTCTTATCTCAGATCAAGCCAGTAGCATCACAGCAGGAAATGCATTTGAAGGATGCAAAAGTTCTGTGGGATTCTCTTCTCATGTATGTGTGTTGCATTTCTAGATTATCAAACGTCATGTATTTAGATGCCCTTTAACAGGACAGGATCAGCACTTTCGCTTCTCAGAATCACCATGCGTCATGCCGAAACAGTTTAGGAACCTCACACATAACATACACACACATGTTCATAACCAAGAATACAATAGCACCATGGCAAATTCAACTCTGATCAAATCCATGATCCAGTATTTGTTTCCGCATTCATAAAAAAAACCAAAAAACTTTCAGACAAGATCAAGATACAGAGATAGAAGAAAACAATAGACCCTTTCACAGCTGAAACTGATTTCTAACAAAGTACAAAGATGAAAAGATGTTACACATAAGATGAAGACTGTAAGAGCGTATCATAAATTGGATTAATGCTTCGGACCTTTAATTGCCACCTGAGAGACCAGGTGTGAGGACAGTGACGGCTCGGTTAGCTCCAGCTTACTGGATGTGAAATGAAACCGCGACTATGAGGAGTAAGAAATCGATCTTGGCTGTTTGTATCCACTGTAGACCTTTTAAGACCTTTTAATTTTTTTCATTCAATTCAGTTTAAGTTTTAATTCATACAGCACTAATTCACAACATGTCATCTCGCAGTACTTCACTTAGTGAAGTGAAGACCTTATGAAGTTTAAACAGAGAGCAACATTTCAAAGATGCCTTTGGATTCTCTACACGCAAGTAGTCAGTGATGGTGAGAAGGAACCAAGACGACAGACGTCTGCAGACTCCTGATGTGGTTCCTGCTGCTGCTGATCTGCCAGCCTCTTGCTTTGCCCTCATCTGTCTGGTGTTTAGCAGTAACATAAGAATATTGTCAAGAATATTGCTGTTTGGTCTAAAATCTAAATGGGTTGGCTGTATATTAAAAGGTTAGTTCACCTGCTTGACAAAGGCATACCACCATTTTTCCACTAACTTGTTAACAACAACCAGATAGTTTGGTGTTGCCTCCATCCCATTTTAAAAGAGGTGAAGTTAAGTTAAGTTTGTGGTAAAAGGAAGACAGATATACAATGTAATAGTAAGCTGTTGGTTTTTTTTGTTGTTGTTGTTTTTTCATTTAGCTAAACTGACTTCTCGACAGTCTTCCAGCACCAACAAATTGCAATACTGTCCTCACCAGTCATTTGGTCAGACTCTTAAAACGATCAATGTTCTTTCCAACCATTCCACAAACTCCCTTAACAACAAGGTTGGATGAATCAAATTATTCTTTTCTTTTTTTCCAGCAACTCTGTCCTGCTGATAAGTTTACTATGTTACTAGAAGACAGTTTATGTGGATCAGTGGGTTCTTGTTGACACGAACAAGCCTTATCACATTAATGATCACATGTTTTTTCTGATATCACCAATACCACATGCAGCAGGAGATATGCTACAGATAGTATAACTACAGTAGCAGTCAAACATTTGGATAAATAAAAACCATTGAATGAGAAGGTGTGTCCAAACATTTGGATAAATAAAAACCACTGAATGAGAAGGTGTGTCCAAACATTTGAGTGGTACTGTGTGTGTCACCTGTTTCTCTCCATTAATCCTGTCATAACTACTCTGGTCATCTGTCACATTTACAAATGTTACAAATGTTTTACAAATGTTTCGAAGCATCTGCTAAAACGATGCATCTGTCGCTTCACAATAGCACAGTAAAATGTACTTTGCATCGTAACAAGCTCCTTGCAGAAACAATGTGTGAGATGGCTTATGGGAAGAAAGTCTGACTGAAACACCCTCAAATTACATCAATTTAACCTCATTGTAATTTCTATTTTAAATCCAACTTGCTTGTGTAGAGAGCTTCCAAAACCAAACTTTGTTACTGTTCAAATCCTCAGGGATTGCAGCACACATATAGCTCTAAAAAGAGTAGCGTGTCCTGAAGGCCAGTAAATTGTAGACTCCGGTTTGAATGTTCTGATTCACAACTCAGTGCATCAGATGTTTGTGCAGTAAGGTGAGCAGCACAGCAGCTGACAGATAGAAAGTGGTTCTGTGGTTCAACAACCTTTGAGTGTGCTGGGAGTTAATCAGAAGGACATCTCTCTATGCACCAGTTCCACTAAAACACTTCAAGATTACATCTCCTACAGCTAATTAAATAAATATGGCCGAGGCAGAGCCTTATTCCAAAACACCTGCTCCAGTCACATTTGCCAGGCTTGCTTTTATTTGTTCACCGTACTGCACCAGGAACTTCAGTGAGCCAGACGGCTTTAGAAGAGAGCTCTGTATTTCATTTTGAAGTCACTGGAAGTCACTGAAATAAAAGACAGTCTTTTATTTTGAGTGATTTCAAATAACTTCAGGATGAAAGAGGGCAGAGTCAGAAACGATTCAATTATCTGATTAGGTGATATTTTTAAGTAGATGAGTCAAGAGCAAAGGTGGGAGAAATAAACTTCAGATTATCTTCCTCACATAAGAAAACAAGAAATCGCCCATTTTGCAGAATTCAATGAAGCTGACACAGATGAACATTCCAGCCAGGAATTCAACTATCTGTGTTTAGCATTAAACATGCTTAAAAATATTCTCGCTTGATGGATAAAATTCATTTGGATGTTAAGTGGAATGCCTTGATTAAAATGCACTGCAGTCAACAAAGGAGCATTTGCTTTTCCGAAAGCAGGATTAAGAGGACTCAGGTGGTGTTACAGGAGACTCATCTTCTTTCATACCTTTCAAGAGATCTTTGGGCCAATGAAGAAAAGAAATCCATAAAGAGACAAAGGACACAGACATAAGGTGGGGTGGGTAAAACAGAAAGACAGTCATGAGACAGATGGATAACTAGACATGCTAAGCAAACAGATACTGAAAGGCAAATCTAGATGTCACTGTAGGGATATCAGGCACAACATTGACATTTCTTTGACAAACATATATACAACCAAAACATAATCCTAATGGCACAAACCAAAGCAGGAGTTTAACGTTTTATTAAAATAAATGTTCTTTCTGTTTTCCCTTTTCATTCATAGAGCAAAGAGTAGTCTGCATTGGGTCGTCTAACTCGTTTTTAGTAACTTGGGTCTTGTTTTTGTAGTTTTGGCTATCCTCTCTATCATGTCTAATAACACTTAATCACCAACTGGACAAATGGGAGCAAAGAAACGACACTGAGACAATCAGACAGGTTGTAACAGTCCAGTGTTCTAATTACCACACACTGGAGTTCTTGTCTCACAGTAGGGTTGGGTTGTAAACCAACCAACAGCTCATAGAGTTCCTCGAAACCATTTTATGTGGGGGTAAAACTGATAGGATACTAATCTTAAGTGCAATAAGCCAAAACATTCTGGCCACTCACCAACATAAATACCTCTGATTGTCTTATAACAGTATGTCAAGCTCTGGGATAAACCAGATGGTGAACAGGCAGCTCTCGAAGACATTGTGTTGGGTGTCAGAAATATTATTATGTGTGACGAGTGCCTTTCACAAGCGCCAAATCACAAAAGTTTATGGGGGTCAGCAGTCATGAGAAACAAGGGACAGTGATCTGAGGAGCAACAAACACTGAACATGTATCAGGATGTTCTTGAAGAAGTCTGCTCTGTGGCAGCTCCAATCTCAACTTGTAGGGCTTACAGGATCCTGTCTTGGTATCAGGTACCACAGATCACCTTCAGTAGGCTTTTAGAGTTCATGCCTTCAGGTGTCAGAGCTGGTTTTGTCATGCAAAGTGGTCATAATGTTTTGGCAGTGCAATCCTTCGTTGCACAGCAGAAGTGTGTCCACAACTACAATGTACCCAGCAAGTATGGGAGGCATGTCTATAACCTATATGATTGTCTGAATGCTTGCATTGTGTGACATCTGAATTTTTTTTCAGCATCGTTGGCACATTCATGACACAGCAATTACCTTGGCCAACTATGAAATTAAAGACCCAGGTGGTAATAAACTGGATTTATTCTTTGACAACTTTACCACACTGTGTATTTTTATGTGGGCTGACTAGTAAAACTGTTCTTTCTTATATAGTGAACGATGCTGTATCTTGTCCTGTCACCTGAAAGAAGAAAGAATGGAAAACAAGAAGAAAGTAGGACAAGCTATGCACAGAGGAAGTATTTCATGTAAAATCTCCTATGTTTTGACTTTTTAGTGAAGTATTCTCTACTTCCAAGATTCCAAGGTCATAACTTTTTGTTCTTTTAAGTATTTGCTCTGTCTTTTGTCCTCCAAATATTCTCCACTTGTTTGTTGCCTAAGTTATTTCCTTAAGGGTGTCAAATTGTACCAAACATAGATTACTCTGCCCTCCTGCCCTCACTACAACCCAAATTGATTTCCCTTGCCATCTCTCACCCTGTGCACCTGGTGGCGGATGCTTTTTAAATGTCAGCCGACAGACGAAAAACAATGCAATTAACCTCTTGAAGGGTGAAAAACATGTTAGTGCCTTAGCTGGTACAAAAATGCGCCTCCCACACCGTCTACTCTGGCGTCCGGGATCACAACTTGTCCTTGTACTGTCGGAGGAGCTGATCCGTAAACAACCCGATGCGGTTATGGGTATGGATGTGTCTTTGCTCTTTTATTTACAAGATGGAGTGTGAGAGCTTTTGGTACTGATTGATTCATATGCAACTCAGGGTGAATGCAACACTGCCGTATTACATCAGGATAAATGGAGTTGTGGAATTGTGGCTCCAATATTGAGCTCCATAAAAGGTAGCTTCAGGCCACACAATAAAAGAATAAATGAAAGTTTTTACTGTGTGGCAGGGGGCCATGGTCTGGGTGTTTTAATTGAGGTCTGAATGCCAATGTGCTCTTTCTATGCAACTCCAACACCAATGGATAACCAAAGGTGTGATTAAATGGAGGACATTTATATTTAGCTGTAAATCTTTACAGAGACTACCCTGCTGTGTTCTGGGAGAGAAGTGGCAAAATGTGGTCCCGGAGACACTGATGTGGCAGAAAGTATTACAGTATTTCGTACTCTGAAGGTGTTCACATGTCTGTTTATCTGTCTGTCTGTGTGCAGACTTTTTCAACACTTTAGCTTCACCACTGTGCAACATCCACTCCTAGCGCTTCACATGTGTGGAGTTGACATCAAAATAAAGGCTAAGTTGTTGGTGTGGTCTGACCTATGATTGCTGAGTACTAAAGTAATCAAGTACTAATGGGACTCATGCTTCGGAACTGTAACATGTTCATGGGCGTTGCAGCTGGTGTGTCCCAGTGCAAGGTGCTGTCTGTCTTTCATTTGTCCAAACCAGACCACAGCAGTACTTTATTTGAGCTAGTTGAACTTCATCTTGACTAATCCCAATGCAGCCAGAGTTTTTAAGGAAAATTGTGGGCAAAGCACTATATGTACCACAGTGCGATGAGGTAAACAAGCTCGCCTTTATGGCATGTTAAGCCTACCTTAGTAAAGGGACTGCAAGCAGGTAGAAACACTGTCTAACTACTGGCTACTAACAAGTCTAAAGCTATCTGATTAACGCAGTGTATGTTGTTTGGTGGAGACAACAAGGTGGTGTAATTAAGTGTTTTATGCCAAAACCTAAACCAGAAGCGTAAGTGTAACCTTGTCTGGCAACCTGTGCAACAGCTGGAGACGCCGACGTACTTTGTGGATGGATAAGCGAGTGTTTGTCACAAAACTGAAAGTCACCTTCATGTTTTTGTAAAGATTAGGACAGGTTGGTTTGGCTTTGAGCAGAACCAAGCTAGTTGTTTATCTCTATGTGCAGTTTTTTTAAGAGGTTTGGCTAAAGTCCCAACTCTTATCAGTGTAAAGGTGCTTCAAATGAAAATGATCTTTCTGTCTGTTGTCCAGTTTCACACCCAAACGAAAAACATGAAACTTTTTTTTAAAACATTTTTTTTTTTATCAACCTCACATTATACAGTCACTGCTGACTTAGTGTTTGGTTATCATTTGGATTGACAGTTTGACAACCTTAAGGAACCAAAGCTTGTCCTGTGTATTTTTCTGCTATTTCGGCCTAATACAGTAATCATGGTATAAACTACCCTCTATGATGTCACCTCTGTCTATCACATTGCTCAAACATTGCAATAAAAACTAAAGCAATTACACTGGACCGATATTGCTCACATCATGAATGAAAACTGTTCACTCTTTGAAGACTGACCAAAGAGCTAACGATGCTGGCTGATAGTCTGGTTTGAACCCCTCAAACAAACTACACCTTATCCAGCCCCAGTCTACCCTCCCCAGCTCAGAGCAAACATTGCTGCCCCGACATGCGCAGGCCAGTAGAGATGCCGTGCCAAAACCAAAGTACCTGTTCTCGTTTTCATTCCTGTCAGGGACAGATGACCCATTTCAGCGTGGGGGAGAGAGAGGGACGAGATATGAGGAAACACAGGAGACAGCAAGGAAGAGGAGGTGCAGAGAAAGAGAAAGGAAAGAGGACAAACTCCACATGATACGTGCATGTAAATCCTTTCTTTCACACAAACAAACACACAGCTGAGTGGACTTGAGGGATTAGCACTACGGATGGAGTCAGGGCCAGAATCAGAGAAAAGCAATGACCTAGACTGTAAGAGAGGGGTTGGGTATAGATGTTAGACTCATTGTTGATTAACAAACAAAGCAGGATCTCATACACTGGAGATGGATAAATCACACAGCATCAGGCACAGCGGCACACTCAGGTGATAATAAAGGCTGATCGCAGCTCTTTTAAAATTAGCCCGCACACTCATACACAGCCATGTTTTCAATCAGAGGCCCTGCTGTGTCAAGCGCTGCAATGTCATACTTGTAGCAAAAGCCTCATGTAGCAGAGATACATAATTTTTAAATACTGTATATGTGTGTACTTTCCTCTAATGATAGTCTTTGCTGTTACATGTATTAAAATGCAGCCACTTATACTTCCAAGGTTAATAATGAAATTCAGAGGCTTTTTCTCGTGCTAAAATGAGTGCGATTAAAGTGAAAAGTTGTTGAGTTACTTGTACACAACTGAGTTATGTCTAATTAGAAAGCAGGTTAAATTCAGCATGTTTTTAGTCAAAGTAGGACACAGAAAGAGAAAAAGACAGACTCATTCTCCATAAAGAAGAATGAGGTCACAGTGATCATTGGGACCTGGAAGGAGCAGAAAAGACATCACTTACCAACACATCCTGTACAGAAAACATCCAGCTGCATACTTTGTACAGTGCATTCTCATATAAGACAAATGGGATCTTAAATATGATGTAATGTTTTATAAAAGTGATTTTAAGAACTGATGTCCAGATTCAGTAAGATGTTACATAAGCATGAAAGAATTCTTGCAGATAAAGTGAAAACAGTA